CCTGGCCCATAGCAGAGCGACCAGCAGGCTCCTCCTCGGTCCCCTTGATGGCCACGCCAGCCTTGCCCTCCGAGAGCGCGGCAGTTTCTCACCGTGCCCGGCGGGGCCAGTGGAGAGAGACGGCTGCCCGGCAGGCAGCGTGAAGACGTGGACGGTCCGACTGACGCGCCCACGGGGACCCCAGACACGTGCGCGGCCCCGCCGCGGAGAGCCGGGTGCTGGAGTGACCCGCCAGCGACACCAACCCCAGACTGGCCACCTCACAGGCAGGAGTGGCACTGCCCGGCCAAGCACCTGCCCAGGGCGAGGTTTGTTGGGCAAGGTTGGGAGTGGCAGGGCTCGGAGCAGGTGGCTGCCCAAGGACCTGAAGCCGGACCCCCCCCTTCCCTCTGCAGCCAAATACCGGGGGTCAAAGTAGCCCAAGGTGGTGGCGTCCACCCCTTCATTCTCCCCTCCAGTAGCCGTGGCTGGGGTTCCCGGGAGCTTCTCCGTGGCATCTCCCAGGGCCGTCCACACACCCACATCTCTCTCCTTGGACGTGTGTCTCCCTTGGCTTCTCCAGGGCCTGGAACAGTCTCCTCGCAGGCCACCACCCCCGGGAGCCCGCGGTGAGGCTGTCCCTGCCGTCAGCCTGCCCTGGAGGAGACAGGCCGGGTCGCAGAGAGATGCCGTTTGCAAGGTCAGGGCTGGAAAGCCGTGCGACCCAGAGTGCAGCCCACAGGCCGGTGGCACCCCGAGGCCCGGGACCACCAGGGAGCTCTCCGTGCTCCCCACGCCTGCCGGGTCAGCACCGCCCGGCAGCTTGTCCGAGCGGCCCCGGTCACGCTGGCACGGGAAGGGCAAACTCTGACACAGGCGTGTGTAGCAGGAGGAGGATCTGGCACTGACACCTTTAGGGATGGGGGTGTTGCCGCCCCGGTGGCGTTGGCGCCCAGCCCCCCTCACCCTGGCACCCGAGGTGGCACTGCACCCCTGCCCGGCACAGCTGCTCCCACCGCTCAGCCCCACACAGCCTGTCCCCAGTCTGCGGCCTGCATCGGAGCCACTGTCCCCTCCTGCCCCTGCCGGACGTGCCACAAGCCAGGCAGCACGTGGCAGAAGCCACGGCAGCAGCGGCCACGCCAGCTCCCCGGGATCCAGCCACTCTGCCCACACGCACGGGGCGGCCCCAACAGGCAGCCCGACCAGAAGCTGACTCAGGGACACCGTCCGGGCACGCGGAGGGTGGCAGCGCCTGGGGCCGCCGTGACGAGGCCCCACAGGCCGAGCGGCTGGAATGACAGACGCTTCCTGTCTCTTGGCCCAGGAGGCGGCACGTCCAAGAGCGAGGTGTCTCAGGACGGGCCCTCCTGGGCTGTCTCTCGTGTCCCCTCAGGGGCGTCCCTCTGTGTGCGTCTGTGTCCTAATCCCCTCTTCTTACGAGGACACCAGCCACCTGGGATCAGGGCCACCCTCTCGGGTCTTTACAGAGGAGATGGCGTTAAAGCGAGCCCATCTCCAGATACGACCCCATCGAGGTGCTGGGGGTCAGGACCCGCCCCCTCCCTTTGAGGGACAGGACTCGACCCAAACAGGGTGGACATGTGCAAACACCGTCATGACGCTCCTGCCACCACCTCCGCCGGGCGCCACCCCTGTCCCTCAACGGCGGGGGCCTGGGGCCCCCACGCAGCAGAAGCCATCGAGATGGCACCCACCACGCCCGGCAGCCCCTCCCTCAGGCCCGCTGCCGCCGGCCCGTGTGCGAAGGACCCAGAGCCTCGGCTGCCGGGTGCCAGGAGGGACCCCCTGTCCCTCCACCTGGCCTCGGCAGCTGCAGCGAGCACCTGAGCACCGGCATGTGTGCACGCTCCCACCTCCCCCGACCAGCCCTGCACGGAAGGCACCGGCACCACCACCGCCAGCCGGCCACAGGGGCAAGAGGTAGACAGAGGGCTCAGGAACCTGGCTGGGGTGGCCCAGCCACGAGGCAGTGCCCAGACACAGAGCTCCACCCCACTTCCACGTCCACCCTTGTCGGGTCCCAGCACGTCCCCACCAGCCCTTCCTCCCAGAGCGCTGAGCTCTTTCTCCTCCTGGACTGTCTCCCTCCCTCCCAGCCGCTCCCCCGGCCCACCGGCCACAGTCTGGCACTCAACACACAGGCAGAGACACGGGCAGGGTCTGCAGACCAGACCGCCTGTCCTCCCAGCCTCCCCCCCCACCTGCCAGCCACAGCACAGCTGCCCAGCGGCCACTGCAGACCGGGGCCAGAGCCCGGGACCGGCGGGTACAGGGCAGCCACGGCCCGGGCACTGGCCTCGGCCTCCGGACCGGCTCAGCCCAGTGAAGCCCAGGACCTGCTTCTGGCTCCATCAGTGATTAACACGCGTCAAGGGTGCCGCCAAAAGCCACCAGAGAGGTCTTGGGGAGCTGGAGGGCCGTGGGCGGGCGGGGACAGGAGCCCAGCCTGGGGCAGGGCAGCCTCCCCCACTCTGGGCCCTCCCTCAAATCCACAGGCAGGTCTCCAGGCTCCTCGGCAACCAGAGCAGGGGAACCTGGACACCTCGGCCTCGCCAGCGGGTAGCTGGGACCCCCTGCGGCCAGCAGGGGCTTTGGGACCCCCGAGCCCCCAGATACAGTAGGGGTTCCCACGGTGGGGGCACAGAGGGCCACGGAAGACAGCTGGGGTTACAGGAGACAGACAGGAAGCCCACGCAGGCGAGGGCCACGGCCCCTCCGCTGCGTCCTGCTCCCTGACCCCGCAGGCCTTGGGGGGGGGGGCGGCCGAGGAACACAGGAAGAGCTGCTGGGGGTTCCCCAAGGAGAGGCAGGATATCCTGGCCTGCTTCCCCGGCCACTGGCACGCGGGACAGCGTGTCCCCCCCACTCTGACACCCTATGCACCCCGGGCCTCAGCCCGTCCTCCTCCAGCCCCCAAACCCACAACCCTTCTCATTACAGTCTGCCCCACCCAAGACACCCAGGCCCCCCGGCCACCACCTCTGATGCTCAGAGCGACACTAGGGTGGACCACACCGTCCTCCCCGGGCTCCGGCCACTCTGTGGTCCCCGTGTGAGGCCGGGTCTCCCCCAAGAGCCAGGCTGGACTGAGAGTGTTCAGGGCCCTGCGACCCCCTGGAGATGCTGGGGTGAGTGGCCCCCAAGCCCCAGACAAGCCCCATGCCCTGCCTCGCATGACCCCAGGTGTCCCAGGGCCAGGCACGCCTCGTACGGGGACGGGGCCCAAGGCCACAGGCCACTCACAGAAGCGTCCCCTTCCCGTCTCCCTGTCCCCAGAAGCTGCCCCTGCCCTGCCCGCTCCGGGAGGCCGGGCAAAGGCAGACGGCGGCGCTGAGCAAACTTCCGAGAGCTAAACAATCAGAATCAGGAAGAAAACACGAGCGTAAGCAGAGACTTCCTCTGGGGCGCGGCGAGCCCTCTTCCTCCGCAGGCACCGGGGCGGGCCACGGGAGCTCCCGGGACGCTTGCCCCCCCCCGCACGCCCAGGGCCCGACCGAGAGGTGGCTAAAGGCAAGAGGGGGGCGTCCGGACACACAGGCCTCCGGACAGGGGCTCCCCACACATCTGGCTGTGGGGGCTGCCTGCTCCCGGGCGCCCCAGGGAGTCTGGGCCCCAGCAGGCGAGCGTGAGGAGGCACAGCAGCACCCCCAAGCCCGGGGTTTGTTGCACGCTCCCACAGTGGCATCCGGCTCGGGTGGGGTCCCTTGGGGTCACTGCACGCGAACATCTCCGGAACCCCAAGACGGGCCGCTGCGGCCGTGGGCAGAACCTTCCCCTCCCACAGACCGGCCACGGCTCGGCACGCCCGGGCACTGCAGGTGGCGGGGGAGCAGGGGAAGGAAGAGTCTCCGAGCCCACGGTCCGACCGTGTCTGCGGGACAGTGGTCCCTGAGACTTGCCCTCCCTGACTTGGAAGGTCCTGCCTCTGTCACCAAGGAGGGCAGCGCCCTGGGACCTCGGCCCCACTCCCTCACCTGAGACGGTGCTCCAAGCCGGACGGGTCCTGCTGCTCCCTGGGGGCCTGGCGGCAGCTACCGACAGACAGCAGTGAACAGGGCCCCGGGTGCCCTCGGGCCAGGTGTCCAGCAGGCCCAGGGCAGGAAGCGGGGATGAGCACACTCTGCCGCCGGCCACCCCGCACAGTCCCCGATGACCCACGGGACACGGAGCAAAGGCTCCCGGCAGCAGAGGCTGCCGGCTGGGCAGCCAGGAAGCAGGGCCAAGGGCAGCAGCCGAGAGCAGCCAGACACCCCTGGGAGGGAATTTCTCATGCCCGTCCCTGAGAAGCCAGCGCCCTGCCCCACTCGGGCACGTGGTGCTGGGAATAGGAGCCACCTGGTAAGAGCAGGGGCCAGGTGCTACCTGCCCACTGTCTCCTGGTGCACAGCTGCCCCTCAGGGAGGCTGCAGGCGGCCCCACCCCCTCCCCGTGCCCCTCCACTCCTCGCATCCACCCAGGTTTTCTGGATCTGGGTTCGCTTAACACAGGGCCGGTGAGTGCTCTCCACACCACGCTGGGCCTGCAGGAAGCCACCGCCTGCCCAGGACAGGAGTCCACTGGGCCTGGGGGTCTGAGGCGGGCTGGCACTAGCAGGAGCACAAGGCCCCTCCCCTCTTGGGGGCTCCTGAGTATCTGCCCTGTCCCCTCCGACCTTGGGGACTCCTCTGTGCTGTGCCCAAGGGCAGCTCCCCTCCCGCTGCCCCACTCCTCCTCGTCCCAGGAGGATCAGCACCTGGACTGCCCCTCCAGGAGGAGTGGACCCCGCTTCTAGGCTCTGGGCACCCCCTCCCCAGCACCCCCCACACACACATGCCCAGGTGGGCCTTCGAGGAGCTTCCCACCAACAGTCACAGCAGGGTGTCCCTGAACTTCTGCGTTTCGCCATTAACCCCTCCCTCCCCGCTTGGCGGCTGGGCGGGCTTGGCAGCTGGGCGGGCAGGTGGCTGGGACCGGCAGGCAGCGGTGGAAAGCCCCTGGGGCGGCCTGGCGATACTCACACTGCGAAGTGGTAGACGAAGCACTTCCAGCCGGTGGGGCGCTCGAGGAAGTTGTAGACGCGGCCCTGGACGTGGGTGCGCGCCAGCAGCGGGCGGCGCGCGCTGTAGATGGAGACGCGCGGGTCCAGGCTCACGCGCGGCGGCGGGCCGAGCTCGGCGGCTGGGGGTGCGGGCGGCGTGGGGGGCGCGGCGGGGGCGCGGGCCGGGGCGCCGGCGGCGCGATCGTGCAGTAGAGCGGCGCGCCCGCCGGCTGCCTCCGCCAGCTCCACGAGAAGCCGGGCAGCTCGCTTGCCGGGCGCGCTGCCGCCGCGGCGCCCGCAGGCGCCCAGCCCGAGCGGCGCGTCCTCTCGGTCCGCGGGCGGGGCCGAGGCGGCCATGGCGCGCGTCCGCGGGGCCGGAGCTGCGCCGAGGGCGAGCGCCGGCAAGTGGCGGCGGCCGCTGCTGCCACCCGCCGCGGGGCCGCTGCCCGCTCCGACGGCGCGGGCCTGAAGGCGGGCCGCGGGCCGGTCTGGGGCGCCGGGCCCGCCCGATGGACGGCACCGCCCTCGCCGCCGCGCCACCTGGCGGGGCCCCCGCCCGCGCCCACCTGCGGGGCCCCACCCCAGAGGCTGCGCTGATCCGGAGGAAGGCGGGGGCTGGCAGGTGCCTGGACCGCAGTGGGACCGGGGCGCCGTGGGCACCTACTTTCCCGCCCTCTGAGCCGCTCCTGAGAGGGGGTGGGAGGAAAGGGCGAAAGAGGGGCGCCCTGGGGCACTCGCGGCGATCCTCTTGGGGCCCGATGGCCAGGAGTGCTGGCCCCGCGCACACTCTGAGCGCCCCGGGGTTTCCAGGTGCGCGAGCGGAAGGTGGAGAGGGGGCTCTGGGGCCCTTGCGCACCAGGACTCCGGAGGTGAGATGGGGCCACCCACGGTCAGGGACGGCTTAGTGGGAGGCGTGGCGGGGGAGCCGGTGTCTGGCTGGGCAGGTCTAGGGAGAGGCGTAGGCACCCCCTAGGGACTTGGGCAATGAGCGTCTTGTCCTGCGCTCTCCGGACCTGGGCTGCGCGGTGGGTAGGGGGTCCCCAGGTGGGGAAGGTGTGGAGGCGAGTGGTGGGTGGGAGATTGGTGCCTCTGGCCCGGCTGCTCCCCAGGGGTGCAATTCTGCTGGGGGCGGGGGGGGGGCAGCACAGAGAAGAGACCACCCTCTGGGGGCCACTGTGCCCCAAGGCAAGGCCTGGAGGAGAGCTCTGCGGAGACCGCTGCTGCCCTGCCCAGGGACAACACATGCGACACCTCTAGGTCTTCACCCAGCACCCTGGGCCGACTTACAGGGTGACTCACCCCCCTCCGACGGAAACTCAGCAGGGGCCCTTGACCCTGACGCCCCACACCTAGCACGGTGCCCGCACAGAGAGGCTGGGTATGATTTGCAGAAACAGCAAATGAAGTGGGTCCCACCTGTGCTGCACCGTGGGGCACGGGAGACACGGGGGGGGGGGGGGGAGGGGAGCCTTCCGGGGGGAGCCTGGGGTAAGGTGCAAAAGGGCAGACGGCCAGAGGGGGCGGCTGCCTCTTTGGGGACACCAGGCATCCGGCGGCGAGGACTTTCCGCGTGGGGAGTGGGTGAACCGGGCACCTGACGCGTCTGCTCTCCCAGCTCCGGCTCTGTGCGTGCGTAGTGAGAGGGGCTGGAGCACCGGGACAGCGTCTCGGGAGGAGAAAGGCGCCGGGTCCACCCCTCACACCGTGCAGAAGAGATTTCGAACGGATCAGACGCTCAAATGCAAACGTTGAAATGCAGTTGTGCAGATTCTTCAGGAAAGAACGGACGCTTCCCCCAGGAACCTGGGAGCTGGGAAACATCTCCAGTTATGACTTGGGTTTCAAAAGCAACAGATAAAAAAACAAGAAAAAAATAAAAAACACCATTAGCAAAGCAAAAGAAACAAATGACAAATTGGGGAGAAAGCGTTTGCATTCTATCACAGGCAAAGGATCCATGTCACCACTATAGATAAAGAACGGACAAAACTGAGAGGAAGAAACCACCGGCCTCCTACGGAAAACCGGGCGAAAGGCGCAAACAGGTCACAGGAGATAGGGTCCGTGACCTTCGTGCTCGTGAAAAAGTGCTCGACCTTGCCCATAACAAGGAAAATGCAAATTATGAAAGTACACCGAGATACGGCTGCCGCATATCTGATTGGCGAAGCTCCCGGCCTTTGAGGGCGCCCTCCCGGAGACACACAGGGCACAGGTGCCCCTCCCCCTCCCCCGGCAGGCGGAGACGCCGGCCGGCCGTGCCAGGGAAAGTGCAGGGAGCGTCTGACCTGGAAACCCCGCTCCTAGGTAGGAGCTAACCCGAAGATTTGCGGGAAAACCAGGAAAGCGTTTTCACAGACGTGCGTGCTGCTCTCCACGCCGCACTCTCTGCGCTGGCGAAACATCACGACGCCCTTTGGTGGGTTCACCGCGCCGCAGCCCTGCAAGGAAGCGTCACGACCGATTATCACTGAGCCTCAAGGGACGGCAGGAACCCAGCGAGGTGTATCGTTGGTGTTGCTGTTTTGAAGTTACATACATACATATCTATCTCAAATAAAGAATCACGTTGGCCCGGGCGCGGTGGCTCACGCCTGTCATCCTAGCACTCTGGGAGGCCGAGGCGGGAGGATCGCTCGAGGTCAGGAGTTCGAGACCAGCCTGAGCAAGAGCGAGACCCCGTCTCTACTAAAAATAGGAAGAAATTAATTGGCCAACTAAAAATAATATAAGACAAAAAATGTAGCCGGGCATGGTGGCGCATGCTGTAGTCCCAGCTACTTTGGGGATGGCTGAGGCAGGGAGTGAGCACTTGAGGCCCAGTGAGCTTTGGACGTGCTGTTGAGTTGGGGCTGGACGCCACCGGCACTCACTCGGTAGCTGGGGCAACAAAGGGGAGACTCTGTCTGGCAAAAAAAAAAAAGAAGCAGCGTGTTGTATTCCTTTGGACCAGGGTTTTTCCGCGAGTATAAAAAGAGGCATGGATGGTTACAAAACGCGAAAAGGGAAGCCCACAAACCAATCCGTTAAGTTTGAATTTTGGAATGTGTTAGGGCACGGACGCACGGAGCCACTTTATTATCTAAGGATGAAATGATGCCCCCGTAGCGGCCGTCCGGGCTGCACCATGTTGGCAGGAAGCTGTTTCGGACATACAAAGGGTAATGTTGAGCCGTGTCGCAAAAAGAAGAACGCGAGTTACGAGTAGGAAAACACACCGAGTACCTGAAAAGCCGCATCCAGTCGTCGTGATTCACAGGTGACGGTGCCACCTGGCCTTTTGCGGGTTTGCCGAGCTTCGGAGCCCGCAGGCAGACGCCTTTCCTCGCACCAACTCCGACCGCAGCTGGCTATGAGCATTTTCGTGGGGGTTTCCGGATGGAAGGCGGTGACGGTGGGAAGATGGCTTCGAAAAAACCAGCAGGAGGCGCAGGAGTTGGGGCGCGCTCTCAAACCAACTGCCTCTGAATTGGGAACTGTCAAAGCCACGTGGTGAATGCACTCATCTATGTCTGGGTACGTTTCCATATTTTATTTTATTTTATTTTATTTTTACTTTTATTTTTGAGGCAGAAGTGCTCACTGTGTTGTCCAGGCTAGTGGTGAGTGCCGTGGCAGTCAGCCGTAGTCACAGCCAAACCTCACACTTTCCTGGGGGGCTCAAGCGCATCCCTCCGTTGCCTTCCACCCTCCAGTAGCTTTGGAGACTTTACAGGCATGTTTGCCACCCGATGCCCCGGGGCTCCCATTTTTTTTCCCACTTTTTTAAATATTTATTTTTTTAGGTTTTGGCCCAATTAATTTCTTTCTATTTATAGTAGAGATGGGGTCTCGCTCTTGCTCAGGCTGGTTTCGAACTCCTGACCTCAAGCAATCCGCCCGCCTCCGCCTCCCAGAGTGCTGGGATTACAGGCGTGAGCCACCGCGCCCGGCCTGTTTCCATATTTTAAAACTCTAACAACCAGCCACCCAAGCACCTGGGGGGGCTTCCTGGAGGCCCCAGGGCTGTGCCCGCAGCCAGCAGGGGGAGCTCCTCGGGGCTCTCATGGCGTGATGCTGCTCTGCTAGTCTGGGGTCCTGTCGGCTTGGGGGCACTGAGGCAGGGGGGAGGCTGGACAGGGGCTGTCTGTGAGCTCCCTGCAGGCTCCAAAGAGCTAGGGGCTGGGGGCCGTGCCCGAGATGTGGCAGCAGCCCGGCCCAGCCCAGTGGCCACTCTCGGGCCCGGCAAGGGGGTGAGGTCGCCCGCTGAGGGGGACAGGGTCCCTGGGTCCCAGCCTGCCCGCTGCCACCTGCTCCCTCCAGGACACGCCCCCCACAAGCAGGCTCTGCACAAACTGGAGCTGGGGGACCCCCGAGGCAGCTCCTTCGCCTGTGACATGGGGGACCCCCGCATCTCACAGTCACAGAGAGGAGGGCGTGCGCCTGTCCCCCGACTCGCGGTCTGGGTGTGCCCCGCCTCCTCCTCTTCCAGGACGCGCTGGGGGGGCACCAGCCCGGAAGACTGAGCGCTGTGCCCACGCGTGTGCAAGCGTGTACAGGCATGCAGCTGCACGGTGCGCACAGTGTTCGCAGGGCCCAGGATGCCCCGTCCCCGCCGCTGAGAAAGGCAGCCTCGGGCAGTGGGCTCTGGCGGGCTAGGGCAGCCGGGCTCAGACGAGAAGCCAGCGGGGCAGAGTTGGGGGGCGGGGAGCCACCCCGAGGAGCGTGGCTGTGCCCTGCTGGCCGGCCGGCTGGCGGCTGGGCCCTCCCCGCCGAGTCTCATAGCCACGCTCAGCCCTCCCGCCCTGGACCCTGGGCCCCGCCCAGCACTGTGCTTACCTTGCGCTGAGTGAGGTCACCTGACGTCACCGCAGAGGCCCCAGCCGGCCTCAGCGCCCTGCTCTGGGGAAGCGCCCAGGCGCCCTCAGGGCCAGCCCACCCGACAGAAGGCCGACACCGCTCTGCGCGCAGCGCTGAGCTTCCCGGCCCAGGGAGACACCGGCAGGGGTACGAGCCGTTGGCGCTTGCTCTGTGGGTCTGGGGAAGCTGGCTTCGGGGGACACCCAAGGGCCCCCCACTAGTGCCCTGTCACTGGCCACGAGCCTCCCCTCCCCTCCAAGTGGCGTATCGGGGACCAGTCCTGAAAGTCTAAAGGTCTCAGGCCTCGCCCGGCCCTTGTGGGGGTCCCTGCCCAAGGAGCAGCCTGGGCCCCCACACAGCCCTCCCCTGGGCAGCTGGGCCCAGAGCCCCCCGGGGAAGTCACGGGCAGCCCTGGGCGGTCAGAGGACAGAGGACAGAAGGCCTGGGCGAGTGGGCTGTCCCTAAGTCCCTCCAGGCGTGGCGGGCCGTTCCTGTCCTCCGGCGGGAGCCCCCCGCCCGGCCCCCGACCCCGAAGCCCCCGTGCCCGTCCCAGGGCAGAGCCGGGGCCGGCCTGAGCGGAGCAAGGACCAGAGGGGTGCCCGCCGCAGGCCGGCAGGGAGGGCGGGGTGTGGACTGAGGATGAGGAGGCAGGGATGACTCAGGCAGCCCGCTGGTATTTATTGGGCGCCTACTGGATTCCCAGGCTTGCCGGCTTGCAGTGTGGGGGAGGCCCCTGGCCCCAGAGGACAGTGACCCTGTGTGTGAGGCACCTGCGTGCAGGGCGGAGCCCCGCGAGCAGCTCACAAGCTCACGTCCTCCCCCGTGGCCACCCGGAGCCTGAGAAAGGGCCGCTCCGCTGCGGTGGCGGCTTGCTGCAGCCGGGCGGGCGGTCAGCTGCCCTGCCGAGCGCCGGAGGGGGGGGCTGAGCGCGGGGGGGGGGGGGGGGCAGGCCGCCCTTCCTGAGTCATTTGCCAAAAGCTGCCTCCTCCGTGAAGCCTTCCTTGACCAGCCTGTGTAAAATTCAACCCCCACCGCTGGCGGGAGGGCCCCGCTTTGTTTCTCTCCGCAGCTGTGTGGGCGACTCACTTTCCACATGTCTCCTTCGTTTCCTTGCCTGTTGCTGTGTCCCCGAACTCCGACCCTCACATGGTGCCCGGCGCCCGGACGCCGCAGTGAGCCTGTGTGCGGTGGCCGCGGGAGCCGGCGGGGTCCTCAGCCGGCTGAGGAGCAGGGTGGCCGGGGTGCTCATGGGTGCTCGCCAGCCCGGGGACCCCGACATTGCCCCTCTCCCCGCACACACCAGGGCGTGCACCGCCAGTGGGGCCCCTGCTCCAGAGCCCTGGGCGTCTGTGCACACAGTGTGTTCAACACACACACGTGTCCAACACACATGTGTCCTACACGCGTGTTCAACACGTGTGTACAACAGTGTCCAGGCACGTGTGATATGTTCAACACATGTTCAACATATGTGTTCAACACATGTTCGACATACATGTTCAACACATGTGTCCAACATATGCATGCAGACACATACTGTGTCCGACACACATGTGTTCAACATATGCACACACAGACACATACTATGTTCGACATACATGTGTTCAACACAGAGAGACACACATGATGTGTTCAATACACATACACAGTGCCTGCACACACAATGTGTTCATCCACACGGACAAACATGCACACACATACGTAGGCCCCGTGTCTACACGCGCCCACCCCCCGTGTCTACACACATGCACGCACACCGGCACACGCTAGCCCTTCCTCTGAGGCCCGCGCAGACCCAGCCCCGCTGGGCGCCGCCCTGCACATCCTGCACTGGGTCCTTGCGGGCCGCGAGACGTGCCGTTGCTGTCGTCCAGACTCCACTTGGGACCTGGGACCCCAGTCCCTGAAGGCCCCGTTGCAGCCCTGGCCGCCGCCCCGAGCCCGCCTTGCCGTGCAGGACACGCGCTCACACCGACAGACCAAGGCGCACACACAAAACAGACTCCTTGGCACAGTCACATGCGTGTGGCATCCCCGGCCGTGGGCAGCCGCTTGGCCCCACAGCCGGAGCTGTGGGGCCGGAGCGGCCAGCCCAGCGGGCGACAGGTCAGGGGGCGACAGGGCCAGCGGGCGACAGGTCAGGGAGCGACAGGGCCTGCAGGCGACAGGCCCAGGGGGCGACAGGGCCCATCCGGCGACAGGCCCAGGGGGCGACAGGCCCAGCGGGCGACAGGCCCAGGGGGCGATAGGCCCAGCGGGCGACAGGGCCAGCGGGTGACAGGGCCAGCGGGCGACAGACCCAGCGGGTGACAGGCCCAGGGGGCGATAGGCCAGCAGGCGACAGGGCCAGCGGGTGACAGGGCCAGCGGGCGACAGGCCCAGGGGGTGACAGGGCCAGCGGGCGACAGACCCAGCGGGTGACAGGCCCAGCAGGCGACAGGCCCAGCGGGCGACAGGGCCAGCGGGCGACAGGGCCACTCCTTTGTTTGCACTCTGCCGCGGGGCGGGGGGAGGGGGTGTCTCCTTCCCAAAGCTCCAGATGCTTCCAGGTGGAGGAGGGGGCGTGAGCCTGGAGTCTGGGCCTGTGGGGCCACCCGGCCTCCCTGGGCTCCATCCCGTCTCCAGCCCCTTGACGGGGTTAAGGTCAAGGTCGCCTCTCCCAGGGCTGTAGGCGGCTAGAGGCCACGCTCCAAGGACAGCGCGGGCCTAGTGGGGACAGCCGCAGGTGCCGCCGTGTGGCTCGGGGCTCGCTGTCTTGGACGCCGCACGGCCTCTGTCCCCTCCCTGCCCTGGCCTGGGGCTGAGGGCACAGACCAGGCCCCACATGCTGGACGCAGGATTCTGGGCTGAGGACACCCTCGTGGCCACTTCAGGGGGAGGATGCTGGCCCTGCCTTGGGGAGCAAGGACCGCGGGAAACAAGGACGGCTGCAGAACCATGGGCACCGTCACGGGAGGAGGGGCCACCAGGTCCCCGGAGCCCCCCGAAGGTGGCTCAGCCCTGTGGGTGGCCCCCCTGAGGCCTTGGGGTCTCTGGGCAGCAGGACAGGTCACTCATGGGTGGGGAGTGGGGTTGGGGGCCAGAGTCTGGGATGCCCTACGGGGTTGACCCTCAGTGGAGGGGGCAGCCGGGCACGCGGCTCTGCTGGTCCCACTGGGCTCTTGCCTTCCACTCCAGGGTCGGGCCCGGGCTGCAGCCTGCAGAGCTCGCCTGTGGCCCCGTCCCCCTGTCCCCCACTGCGTGCACTGTGCTTTCCGGCCAGGAGTGGCTTCCTCGCTGCCCGCTGCTCCCGTCCAAGGGGGTCTGGGCCCTCTGTCCCCCGAGGCTTGGCCTTGCGTGGCCCAGGGGGGCGTGCGGCCGCTGCCTGGGTGGCGGCTTCACTCCTGCAGGACACAGGAGAGGTGGCTCAGAGGCTGCAAATCTTTCTTCCAGCCAAACGCCGTGTGGCACAGCCCGGGAGCCAGCCCCCAGCCCCCTCCCCGAGCCCAGGCCTGGGGTCCTGGTCAGAGATGCTGGGGCGG